GTTTGTGCTCTGCAGCTTATACTTCCTTTCCTGGAGCTAGATATAAAGTATTTTGATCTCGGTCTTTTTCATCGTGATGCCACTAATGATAAGGTTACGATAGAAAGTGCAGAAGCTACCCTTAAGTATGTAATTTATTCTCAAGTTTTTGTAATTATGCTCTGGCGGGTTCATATGATTGGAAAAAATAAATATTGTCATGTGCATTTACCGTTATTCAGAATAGAGCATGAATGTGACTAGCAGTTCCTGTTACTTATTGTTTGAGACGGTAGGACTTTTGGCTAACTCACGTGGGAGAAAACTAAAATCAATCTTTCTCGTTTGTTCTTCACTTTCCATGATGGATTATATTGAATAGAAAGTTACTACTTAAGAGTCACTCGGTATAATTTTAGTTGAAAGAAGTTGCCACCTGGGGTTCGTTGGCTATAAGTATTTTAGTACAGAACTAAAATGTCATTTTCAGTTTTAACTTCTGTAAACAGATATAGCTAGTTTTTTATTTATTCATTTATATATTTTTCTTTTCAGATAATATTTTTGGATAAGTAGTTTAGCTTATCAAATATATTTTTTTTGACAGTGAATTAGATTATTTTTTTCCTGTGACAATATATCAATTATATTTTCCTGCAGTGAGGTCAACATTAAAATCTTTTTGTTTCTGTTTTTGACAATTCTAGGTACAATGTGGCAATTAAATGTGCAACAATCACTCCAGGTATGTGTTCTTAGGTTGCTTGCCGGCTTAAAATTAATGCTTTTTATTGCACTCATAATTAACAAAAATCATTTTTTTTTTCTATTATGTTATTAGCATTCTGTATTATATTTCAATGTTTTATCTTCCTTTTTTTATTGGAATAGATGAGGCCCGTGTTAAAGAATTCAACCTGAAACAGATGTGGAAGAGTCCAAACGGAACAATCCGGAACATCTTAAATGGTCGGCAAATGTGCTGTAGGAGTTCTTCGATTGGAATATTTTCCTTTCCTTGCAGTTTTTTTTTACCCAAAATTTTATTTCTATGTAAATGCAGGAACTGTATTTAGAGAACCAATCATATGTAAAAATGTTCCCCGGCTTGTTCCAGGTGCCTATTAGCAATGACTTAAGATCACAAAAAATGGAAGCTTT